AGTCGTGTACTGTATGCTTCCATAAGCTTTTGTCATAGCATACTTGTGAACCTAGCATTACGATCAGATACAATAGAGAGAGGAAAACCATACTCAGTTACCCCTCGTATCTGAAACTTTTGGATAATAAGTTATGTTCGCGCATTTGCGGGTAAGGGGATAAACATGGCATATTTAGAGAAACGATCCACAATAACCATTACTTGACTATTTCCATTTCGGCTTTTGGTGAGGCTCATGAAGTCAATCGAGATAGATTCATCTGGTTCGCTAGGAATAGGTAATGGTTTAAGAAGACCAAGTGGATTCTCATGTGAAGGTTTGTTTCTCTGACACACCAAACATGTACGAACATAAGTTAGTACGTCTTCTTTCAATCTCTTTCACTCAAAGCGTTCTCTAACCTCTGAGTAAGTTTTTTTAAAACCAAAATGTCCTTCAAAGTCATGACATTCCCCAATCAACAGACTTTTGATTTCTTCTTGATGAGGAATACACAATTTTTGTCCAGTTCGGTCTAACAAGAAAAGCAAACCATCGGTCACTCTATGGTCAGGAAGTAGAGATGGATCTTTGACAAGGACATCCATGATAGGCTTCCAAATAGGATCAGTAGTACATCCTTGACGAATCTTATCTTTCAGATCACTTCCAACGTCTAAGTAGGAGACAATAGTACCAAAGAAATCAGTTCAAATCACAACGTCTGGACAATGCAGGTAGTTTTCGTGATCTTCTAGTGTCTTACTGTACACTAGAATATCGTCGAGATAGACAATGACGAACTGGTCCAACCATTGACGAAATAGTTCATTCATGGATTTTTGGAAGGTCTTTGGGCGTTAGTCAGTCTGAAAGGCATAACCACGAACTCATAGTGACCATACCTGGTTCGGAACGCAGTCTTGTGTTGATCTGCGGGATCCACCTCGATCTGGTGGTATCCAAACTTTCGATCAATCTTACTAAAGAACACACAACCCTGCAACTAGTCCAACAAGTCGTCAATGCGTGAAACTGGTTCGACGTTCTTAACAGTGACACCATTCAACCCTCTGCAGTCAATACAAAGATGCAACTCACCTTCCTTTTTGGGCACAAATAGGACAGGGGCACCATAAGGAGAGGAGCTAGGGCGAATCCATCCTTTTTCTGTTGAGTCCTGCAACTTCTTTTTAAGTTCCTCAAGTTCCCTAGGAGACATTGGGTAGATAGGGCCCTTGGGAATCTTACTACCAGGAATAATTTCAATTGTGTACTTGATAACACGTTTAGTTATTCCTGTTGGTTCAGTTTGCAAATCTTTATACTCCTCCAGGAGTTTCTCAATTGAAGGAGGATATGAAGTAGATAGAATCACTACTCGTTGTTCATCCGTTCCTGCCACGTTTCTCGTGACAGGCCCATCTTTTCCCACGGCCTCCAGACCGCAATTCTGTGATGCTATGGGAATGAGCATGGTCTCTTCTTCTTTACCGGCGGTCGTGGTCCTCCCTTGTTGACCACGGCAGCAGTGACTTCCCCCTTCCCAGACTCACTGTTGCTCGCCACACCCTCGGCCTCCAATGGTCACTTCTCCACAGTATCATCATCAAAGACGAAGGATGACAGGTCCGCCTCTCCGATGTGGATCTAACGGTGGATTGCGTCAAATTTTCTCTCATAGATCCACACCGGGGATGGGGGCCGGGATCCGACCACAGTTTGCTTGTAAGGCATCATATGATGTGTTGATATAACCAACATCCAGAACTGCTTGGTGAGCATCTAGTGCTACGCCAATAAGTTCCAAACACGGTCGCAAAGTCCCCTAAGAATGTTCATTGTCGGTTCCTCACGTCGTCGATTCCCACGTGATGAGTACAATAAACAACGGCAGAATGGCAGGTCCCCCTCGCCGGAATGGATATAACGGTGGATTGCGTCAAATCTGCTCTCAAAGATCCACACCGGATAGAAGGTCCTGCAATCAGCCGCTGCTTGCTGGTAAGCATCATATGATCCTTGGATGAAGGTCCCCCCGTTCACTGATGCTCCCCTAGACTCGTGGAAGGAGCTTGAATGGGACATAATGCTCAGGGAGTGTTCGTGGGCGGATGAATACAAGTTCGCTAACATATGCGAGTTTGGGAGCTTCATTCCCGTGCCTAGAGCTGTGCTGGGTTCAGCTCGGTGTCGTTGCTTGAGTGCAAAGCTGAATATTCCTCGTCATCAAAATGTGTTGGCCTGCAGTGTCGTGACTGCTTCGCCGCGCACATGGTTCCGCTCACTGAAACACGAGTTGCTTGTCTGTGCAGGACATTCCGAGTTCCTCGATCAGTACCCGTTGCGCTCTCCAGGGCTGTGGCCTCGAGCAGTTTCCTACTGCTGCGTTAGATTGCCTCTCGGAAAGTTATTCTTATCTAGGGTCCTTTGCGTCGCGTGTTCGAATCGGAGTAGGACCTTGACTGACGTTGTGGTCTACGTATCCAGGAATGAGTTGCACCTCGGGAGAGACATTATCGGTTTGGTCACAATAAAATATGAAGGGACATGGGATTTGGTAATCGGGGGTAAGGTGGACGATGTGGACGCTTGGCGTGAGGTTGAAGCTCAAGCGTCCTCTATACGGGATGGTATAGGGAGGTCTCTGGCCGGAAGGACCGGGTTCGTTCGCATGAAATATATTTCTATGTTCGCGGAAGATGCTCCAGTCGATGCGCCGCAGTGTCTTACGTTTGGGTCGCCTCTTCGAACTTTGAATGAACGCATGTACACATCGGCCTGTCGTCATCGGTAGAAGTGAAAGTTCTGAATGGATGTTACACGCCGATTTCCTTATACATTATACACATGAGCTCATGGTGTGCGCACCTATATCTCCATCTAAGTGCGAGTTCACTCGCACTTGCTGTGTGCACCATGAGCATTCCACTTCTGCGGTGTGACCACCTGTCTCTCCATCTAACTGCGAGTTCACTCGCACTTATGCTCTAAACCCCGAGCAATCCGCTTGAGTGAATGTCTTGACGACTGTGTGTGGGCATGGCCACGACAGATCCTGTTCGCCAACTATGTTCATGCACGTTGTTGTGCCCGTGTGTATCATTTGGTATGTGTGCGTGGTGTGTAGGGAGCGTAATGGAGGCGACCTTCTCGACACCACGAATCTTTGAGTTGATCTTCTCGACACCACATACCATGAGTCCCGAAACGCACATTCGCTTGGCAGAACCATTTCCTCCTTGCGCGAGATCAGTGCAGCATTTCAACGGTGTGACTACGATCCACGGAGCGACCGCAGAGGACTTCGACGAGGACCCCTGGATGACCGTCGTCCCATGCAGGGACAGCATATTGACGATTGGTGCGATGAGAATTGGGCCACGATGGAGAGTCGCTGCCCTTGGGCAAGCCAGTACAAATTCGCCAACATGTTGGAGTTCAGGAACCTCATCCCGCTGTCTGACGTTGTCCTCGGACACAAGTTCCTGAACCATATGCGCAGAGCACTGGGCTGCATTAGCCGCCATTTCAGCTGCCTCGAGTGCCACTACGTCAGGTCGTCGCCACGAACTTGGGGAGGTTCGCGAAAACAAGAGTTGGTGGACTGCGCTCGTCACTGCTCATTCCTGGACCAGTACCCGCTCCAGTGCCTCGGGAATTCTCCACAAGTTGTGTCATACTGTTGTGTGCGATTGAAAGTGTCCGGGTCTGATTTCGCCAGAGTTCTATGTGTCGCTGCATCGAACAAAAGCAGGAAATTCGTCGATGCAGTTGTTCTTGTATCACGCAACGAGCTGGTAATTGAGGGGTCCAAATTCGTGCCGACGCGCGGGCCTGAACTTGTAAATGGGTGGCGAGATTTGGTTATAGTAGGGCCGGTCCAAAACTTTTCGTTGCATCATGAGGTCAAGGAGAAAGTGTGCGATATACGGGACTGTATAGGGAATTCCTTAGCACGACCGGGAGTGTTTGTCAGGATGAAATACATGTCCGTCTTTTCGAAGAGTGCATCAGTTGACGAACCGCAGATCCGCGTGTACGGATCATCAATGAATGCTTTGTATGGCTTCGGTACACGACCTCGTCCCCGGTGAACCCCGAATGTCACTAGATCTGGACGTGTGGTTAGACTTAAGTGAGAGTTCACTCGCACTTTGCTTACGTGAGGGTTAGCTCGCACGTAAGTGAGAGTTCACTCGCACTTTGATTAAGTGACGAGCTTGTCGATATGCAGTGTGGGCGTGACGGTTGCATGTTGGCCGCACTAGGGGACTTATCATTGGACAACTTTATTTACGACGGTCGACACGTCCGTTTGTGTCGTTTGTGTGTTCGTGATGTGTAGGGAGCGTAATGTCGTCGAGACCTTCGACAAGCGCCAACATGAGTCTCGCGACGCACATGCTCTTGAGTCCCGAGAAGCACATGCGCTTAGCAAAACCGTTTTCACCTTGTGCGACATCGGTGCGGCATCATGACAGTCAAACGTGGATCGACGAAGCAGCCAAGGAGGACTTCGACGAGGACCCATGGATGCCCGTCAAACCGTACATGAACCGGCATCTCGACGAATGGAATGATAATGATTGGAAGGCGATGGAGCGTGTCTGCCCTTGGGCAAGCCATTAACAGTTTGCCAACATGTTAGAGGTCGGGAGCCTCATTGCACTGCCTGATGGTGTCCTCCAGTGAAAGACCCTGGACGATAAGGGTAAACCGATCCGCTACCGTACCAGCTTCAGACGTCGCCTCAGCTGCGAGTACATCACATCTTCGCCACAAACTTGGGGAAGTTCGCAGAAGCAAGAGTTGGTGGACTGCGCTCGTCATTGTTCATTCTTGGAACACTACCCACCCCGTTGCCCAGGGACTTCTCCACAAGCTCTATCGTACTATTGTGTGCGGTTGACGGATGATGGATGTCCTTTCGCCAGAGTGCTATGTGTGGCTTCTTCAAGCAAAAGTATGAAACTTGTGGATGCGGTTGTGCTTGTGTCGCGCAACGAGATGGTGCTTCAGGTATCCAAGTTCAAGGCGGTCATGTCTCACCCAGATGTAGATGGGCGGTCAGACTTGGTGAGAGCAGGTCAGGTAAGAGGTTTTTTGTCATTGTGGCGTGACATGGAAGAGAAAGTGTCTGAAATACGTGACCGTATAGGGAATTCCTTAGCACGACGAGGAGGGTTTGTCAGGATGAAATACATGTCCGTGTTTTCGGAGATTGCAACGGTCCACGAACCGCAGAGCGACGTATATGGACCATCTATGAATGCCATGTATGGCTTCGGTTCACGACCTCGTCCGCGAGAAACCTTATATGTGACAAGGTCCGGACGGGTTGTCAGACCTTGTGTTTAAGGGAAAACATGTTGTGTGCGGTTGACTGATGACGGGTGTCCTTTCACGAGAGTGCTATGTGTGGCTTCTTCAAACAAAAGTAGAAAACTCGTGGATGCAGTTGTGCTCGTGGCACGGAACGAGACGGTACTTCAGGGATCCAAGTTCAAGCCCGTGATGTCTCCCCCCAATGTAGATGGGCAGTCAGATTTCGTGAGAGCAAGTCGGGTCAGATGTTTATCATTGTGGCATGAGGTGGAAGAGAAAGTGTCCGACATACGAGACTGTATAGGGAATTCCTTAGCACGATCAGGAGGGTTTGTCAGGATGTGAATGCCATATATGGTTTCGGTTCACGACCTCGTCCGCGAGAAACCCCGTATGTCACAAGATACGGACGTGTGGTCAGACCTTGTGTTTAAGGGCGATTGTAATTCTAATGAGCTCTTCTGGTTTTACAACAATCTTATGCTGTGTCGCGATGTTACGTCGTCTTGCGATGTCGTGTTGTGTACTTCTATGACCTTCTGTTAAAGGGAAAACATGTTAAAATACAATCTTCTGGAACATGATGTGCATGTGCACCTTGAAATGGTGGATATGCAGACAATCACACGTTGCCTCTCGCACCTATTGCAACTATTGTCTCTCGCACCTCTATCTACTACTTCATACAAGTTGCCTCTCGCACCTATTGCAACGCCTCTCACACCTCTATCTACTACTTGTTTTTTGCTTCGAACGTTTTTCCGGAAACAACCCCTGTCTACTTTGCAATGTGCGGTTCAGTGGTTTGAACATTTCTCGCAACTCTGCGTGCGCTGTTTCCATTTACGAAGGTGCAGTGTTAGGAAAAGACTATGCAAGTTGCGAGTGTTTCCATCTCCACGTTGCGGTGACAAGAGTAAATGTTCTAAATGAATGTTATGTATCTTGTCCATGCAAAGAAATTACACGCCGATGACCTTGCAAGTGTTTCGATCTCCAATGTTCATGCCAATGTCTTACTGTCCTATACATGCTCATGTCAAGGAGGGAATCGATGTTTGCGATGACAAGAGTGAATGTTAGGAATCTATGTTATTGATTTGTCCATGCAAATGACAAGCCAGCATCCGTACTCACAGCTACGGGCATGTACTCACACGACCTCAGCAGCACTGGAGTTCCTGTTGGGTGAGAGTGGCGTAGGAACGTCCGGTATGTGTACCTGACGAGAATTACTGGAAGAGCAGAACGCATCTGACTGCAGTAACGTCCACAACTGACTCTACGAATTCCGGTTTGGGACGACGTTCCCAGCGTAGGCGCCGGTTTGGCCAGACATGCCACGATCCGTCGGGTATGACACCACTTGTGTCGGAGTCGATCTTTTCCACTCTTTGAAGTACATGCACAGGTTTTAATTACTTCATGGATTGTCATTGGACTCTTTTTACGTCAAGTCCGCATGGCCCTTTTGGGTTTGAGCTTCACGTCTAATCATACTTCACCAAAAGGACAGTTTCTTTTTTTGACTGCTCCGTCACTGTCTACATCTCCTCTCTCTCCTCTCTCTCCTCTCTCTCCTCTCTCTCCTCTCTCCTCTCTCTCTCTCTCTCTTGTGCCAACGTTCGATGTCCTGCCAAGCTGACATAGGTTGCCGAACGAGGCTGTCCCGCCGAAAGAACTGACATAGCGTAAGCCGCGCTGCGTACCTCACCAGGAGTCCACTTCTTAAAGTGACAATTCAGTGAATTCACCCGACGCACAGAACGTCAGCCATCTTTCAGTCTTCAGACGTGCCTACCCACTTTCGAAGCTCTTCTCCCCTGGCTCAACTACGGGCCTCCCCTTGCTGATGGGGCAACGCCC